GAAAGATTGGAGTGGCAAGCCAGGTTGCCTTGATTTCTGACAAATTATTTCCTCTTAATTACGGAGACTTTGTTTTTTAGGATGAGGGGAAGAAGGCCTGACAGAAATAGGGCTGTAGACCTGTAACAAATATTGGCTTGGAGGAAAATGGTGGTTTTTTTCTTTCAATTTCCTGCACTGTTCTTGAAGGGAAATCTGCTAATCTTGTATCATATTTGTTAGATTGCAGTCAGCTGAAGCCAACTCGCAGTCAGTCTTGAAATGCTCTTAAGCTTTGTGCAAAATAAGATGTCATAGTACTGTGTAAAAGTGAACCAAAAATTCTGGCAGTTTCTTACTGTCACCTCTGTAACGTATGACTGTTATTTCGTGTGATGGATATCAGTTGTTTTCTTCATTCTCTAGATTTTGAGGAGTATGCTCTACAGAGGTTCCGAGGTTATGCGAGAAGTTGCGTGGGTTATTTTTGATGAAATCCACTACATGAGAGATTCAGGTATCCTATGTGGGCAATCCTTCCTTTCAAGATTTTCTTTTCCCCCCAATAATAATTTTTTTCTTCTGAAGAATTAAATCTTTATCCTACTCTCCCAAATTAAACCCGTCATCTTTGTGCATAAATTGTTCAGAATTTTTCTACTACATGTGTATAAGGTAGTTATGGCGTGTTTCATTCTGCATTTCCTTTGCCAAGGCAAGCACTTTGAGGGTATTTGGTATGTCCTTTTTCTGTAGGGGAGGCTTTTTTATATTTTTTGTTTTATTTTGTCTTTAAGCCTGCTGTTCTTTGGCTTCAGAGCTGAAAAACAGCCTTTAATCATGTACCTATCCCATCTGAATTTTCTATTTTCAGAACGTGGTGTTGTTTGGGAAGAGACAATCATTTTGCTCCCTGACAATGTTCATTACGTGTTCCTTTCTGCAACTATTCCAAATGCCCGTCAGTTTGCTGAATGGATCTGCCATCTTCACAAACAGGTGATGTGTCTGATGTGCTCTGTCTCCCTTCTCGTTGTCTTGTGGCATCATACCGTCCCTTTGATTGATGAGTGCTGAACCTTTGAATACCCCTTTAGTCATCTGATCACTTGTAAATGATGGAACAGATCACTCTTGGCGCCTCTGGTTGTACTGCTGGCATTTGCGGCTGTACTTACTGGCTGTTGCTTCTCCATAGTAACATTAAAACTGTTTATTTGAAGTTTATTTTCCACAGTTGTTCAGACATTGGCTTGATTTCAGCATAGACTCTGAATTATGAAGCACAATAAATGTACCTTGATTTTCAGAGGGTGACAGATGAGTTTTTTTTTTGAGAATTTGCTTGAAGAGCTCATTAAAAGGCCATGCGGAAATCAGAAGTAAATCATAAATCCATAGGAACTATTATAAATACTATATATACAATCAAATAAAATGAGAAAAGAGGACTGTAAGAAATCTGTCCTGTCCCATAACCATTTGGTTTATTTTATTTTTATTTGTGTTGTGTTTTTTTTTTGTGTGTGTGGTTTTTTTTGATTGTTTATTTTTTTTAAGAGATACTTTTGCAGAAAATAATGTGAGAATTTGAACTCAGGAAATTAATACCCACAAGAGGTTGGGCCCATTTTAAAAATATCCCAGAGATTGATTCTTATGTTGTTTGTGGTGAAAGGGGTGTAGTACAAGAGATGTCTGATTAATTTTGACACAAAACCTTGGCTTTATTTTGCAGAACATTAGACTGTGATTTTAAAAAAATCACAGTTTAAAAGCAAATCTACATAATATTTAAGATATAAAAGGAAGTTTTTTTTTTTCCTAAATAATCTTTCACTATGCATTAAAACTTTAAATGTTTTTTAAAAGTCTACTGTGTATTTTTTAGGTGGTATAAGAAATACTGCAGTTTTTTTACAAAACAGAAGGTTTTCCTTTGGTTATAAAAGATGTTAGGATATTGAGTCTAATAATACAATGAAATACTACAGAATGAAATAGTACTTGTCCTTAGTTTTTGTGTTAATGAAGAAGAATTTTGTAGCCAGCTTTTGTTCTTCTAAAGGATTCGCAAACTTTCATTTCCTTAATCAATGTCATTAATACTAAATCTGTGTTAAGGACAGAGAATTTCTTTGTAGTTTCTGTGAGTCCTTCTGGCCTTTAAAAAGATGTATTTTAATAGTAATTTATTGATCTTCAATCAACCAAGAATTTTTATAATGCAATTAGAAACACTAAATATTTATGTATATGCTGTTCTTTCTTTATAGCCTTGCCATGTGATTTATACTGACTATCGACCCACTCCACTGCAGCATTATATATTCCCAGCAGGAGGAGATGGACTCCATCTGGTTGTTGATGAAAATGTAAGGAATACTCCATTTGTTTGAAAGATCTTTTTCCTTGCATATCAGTCACAAGCTTGATGTCTTGCAAAGTTTGGATTTGCTATGCAAAAGATGTTTATTTTAAAATGAAGGCACAAATGGGTCACAGTGATGTCTGAATTCCTGTTAGATTTTTGAATTCTCAGAGAAGAGGTTGGTTTTATTACCTCATGTCATGTAGTCAGCTGAATAATATTTTGCTGAGATGTCTTGAGTGCCCTCATCCGTGCTCTGTTTTCTACAGTGCATGCTGCTTTCTGTAAATCTGCAAAGTAGCTGATGTTTATTGTACTGTTCCTCGCTCAAAAGAAATCATATTAGCATTTAAATTTTACTTTGGTTAAGGGGATAAAATATTTTTGTGTCTTTGAATGATTTTTAAACAACTTGTTTAAAATTCATCACTGGCACACCAGTAGCTAATGCCATTAACAGTAGCACTGTGCTTGAAGCTGGTTCTTCATTGGACAATGTAGTTTTGTGTAGATATTCCTAAAAATCAGTTTTGATGTTGTGATACAGCAGGTCTAGCATGGGTGATGGTGTGGTGTATAGAACAACATGCAGTAACTTCAGAGACACTGCTGTAATTGAGCTGTACCACTGACCCAGTAAACTCGTTTGCTGTCTTACATATTGTTTCTGTCCTGCCTGTAAATATGGGGTGATAGTACTGGTTATGAGAAGAACAAGGATCTTTAAGTGGGCTATGTAAGAAGAAGTTGCTTACAAAGGTTGTGTTTTATATCTAGGGAGATTTCAGAGAAGACAATTTTAATACAGCCATGCAAGTGCTTAGAGATGCAGGAGACTTAGCAAAAGGGGACCAGAAAGGCAGGAAAGGAGGAATAAAAGGTGAGTTTGAATCCCATTTTTTTGTATATTACATCAGAGTAACTTGTGTGCAAGCTTTGCTTGTCTATCTTATTCCATAAGAGAGTTTTTCGATTACACTAACTTAAAAGAAATTTTGTCTATCTGCAGGTCCTTCAAATGTTTTTAAGATTGTGAAGATGATCATGGAAAGGAATTTCCAGCCTGTGATTATTTTCAGCTTCAGTAAAAAAGACTGTGAAGCCTATGCACTTCAGATGACAAAGTTAGATTTCAATACAGGTACAGATAAATAAAATATAGTTGTAGTCACAAATGTGGTCTGATGTGAAATACTACTCTGCTTAGATATTTCAATTTCCTTTTGGACTTACTGTGTAAAAACAAATGAAAAATACGTATTGCTTTTTCATTTATTATGCCTGTATATCAGGCTGTTTTCAGTAGGAAACTGTTGGTGCACAGAATACTTTGATCATCACAATGTTCAATTGTTCCTCTTTTAAAATTGATTTCCTTCCCCAAAATCCTGTTCTCTGTAATAATAGCATGCGAGTTCCTAGAATATTCTACATATAATGGGAGAAGACTGATTCTAGCAAGTCTGTTTCCTCAGTTTTTCATTTACCTCCATGAGAAAAATGACTATTCTTTCATAACTGTGTAACAAACCGCTAGACTGTTCTGTCTCAACTGTTGAGTTTTCTTTCTTTATTTCCCCCTCCTTCTCAGAGTAAAAGATAAACAAAGAAGGTTTTTTTTTCTGTTTGGATTAAGACAGAGCTTGGAAAATATGTTTAAGTTCATTGCTTCTTGGAAATCTTAAGAGTTGTAAGAAAAATAAGGAAAATCAACATACCGTGTTTGTGAACTGCTCAGGGTTCTTGCTTGCTTACTTGCTCCAGTCTTTGCACATTATGGTTCAGTGTTGCAAAATAATGCAGCTGTTTCTGTCAGAAAATGTAAAGCTATGCACAAGTTTGGAGATGCATTTTTGTTTTTTTTTCTTCAGTCATACCTTTGAACATATATTCTTGGTATTTGTGCTACTGAAGTAGAAAGGATGTAAGCTTTGAGAATTAACAGGGAAGAGGAAGACCCTCTATGTCCATGTAGACATGGACGAGTAGGCAGAAGAGAAACAGGAGGAGGTTTATGAAATAAACAGAAAAAAAATAAAATGGGGAAATCCCAAGCTGAGAAGTAGCTGATGTTTGGCTTATTCTGCCAGGTTTGCTCTCTTTTCCTTTTCCCTGAGCATGTAGTTCTGGCTACTGTTAGGCTCCTTGAGGCTTACATTCAAGTCTTGTATGATCTGATGCAGGTGGTTTTGTGTAGATTTCAGAGTCTTATGTGCTATTTTTGTTTTAAACTTTTCTAAATATTAGAGTGTGGTAACACTTCATTTACATGCTGTTAGTCTTCTAGACTTTGTAGTAACTTAAAAATTGCATTCTTAGATGAGGAGAAAAAGATGGTTGAAGAAGTGTTCAATAATGCAATTGATTGTCTGTCAGATGAAGACAAAAAGCTTCCTCAGGTGAGTGGAGATTTAACAGGGGTAGCTGCTGCTCCTTTGTTTTCTGAAGTTTTGAGGCTGTGGGTCCTTTAAGACAGGTACAGAAAGCATAAACTGGATATTCTCATTCATCTCCCCATCTTTTAATATCTCTTGTATTGCTTCATGTGATCAGGATTCCTTTCAGTTGTGATTCCAGCGAATGACATATGCCAGACTTAACCTGGAGTTCCTACTCCATTATTAGAATTAAATATGGTTTGAATTAAATAAGCCTGCGGGCTCCTAAAGAGATACCTGGGTTCAAACTGTCTGGAAGTAGTTCAAATGAGAGTGCAGTGTGCACTTTACCAGGTAGTGACTTCTGAGCCTTTCAAAAAGTTGAATTGATGCATCTACTTTCTAATTTATTGTATAAAGATTAAGCATAGTGACTATCTTGACAGTGGAAAAACACAAGCTTCTAAATTGTCAGAATCATATAGGGTTGTGTACTTTTGTTACAAACACGAAATCTACAATTTCATTCTACCCTGCTCTTTATTTGTTTGTGTCCATCATTTCTTAGTGTAGTGATATTTATTGTGGATACGGCAACTTAATGAAAAAAAACCCAACCATTTAATTTTCGGCCATGCCTGCTTGCTTCAGATACCACATTTGCTTTGTTTGTGAAGTCGAGAAAAACAGAAAATAAGAATCCAATATGTAAGATGGTGTGTGCTGTTTGTTTGGGGTTTTTTTATTAAGTTTTTAACAGTGGCATTATATCCAAGTAACCTGTTTTGGTCTCTGTGGACAATGTCTCAAAAGTATGTTCTCAGAATTGGGTATGGGATGGTAACCAAGTGTTAGCAGATAGTTAATGAGGATCTTTGCTTTAAAATTAAAAACCAAGAGACAAAGGGAAATTTATGCAGGTATTTGGTTGAAGTGTAAAGTTTTTATAATTTAAGAGATTAATTCAGCCACTTATGGCCTGAATTTTCTTATATGGCTCCCATAGGTGCTGACATCAGTGTTTCACAGCACACACCAATAAGTGGAACTGGACTAAAACTGAATCAAGATGGTCTCGTGTATCAGAATCATGACTTCCAAAGACAATATTTAGATTTGCCTCTATTAAAAAAAAAAAAAAAGGTTGCCTCATGTAAAACTAACTGCACGAGTAAATTAGGGTATAGCTTCACAGCTGGTCTAACTCTATATATACTAATCTACAGAAAAGATTGGCCTCTGGCTTTACCTTTCATATCATTCCCAGTTCTAACTGGGAAGTAGTATTGAAGAGGTACTTACTGGATTTAAAATCAGGCAATAGTGCATTACATGAACATTAAGGGCAGCGTTGAAATCTTCAGTACAGGTTTTATTTTTTAAAAACAGATAGTAAAATATGTTTACTGCTATTTGTTTCTTCGCAGGTTGAGCATGTTCTTCCTCTTCTGAAGCGAGGAGTTGGTATCCATCATGGCGGTCTGCTGCCTATCTTAAAAGAAACCATAGAAATTCTTTTCTCTGAGGGGCTAATAAAGGTATATATTTCATGTCTGTGTAGCTTTTTCTGTCTTGTAAATACACAGTTGGTAATCCTGAAAAAATGAGAAGCATATCTTAGCTCAAACTGTACACTTAGTACTGGAGTGGAGATCTGCTTCTTGGGTGAAAAAGGTGAAAGAGCCATTGCATATGCCCAACTGAAAAACACTTTGGGTTTAGAAAGTGAGGTATTCAGGAAGTATAAGGCTTAGTGCATACCAAAAACATTTTTTGAAGTAGGCTATTCTGAAAACAGCCGTGTGCACCTGGGAAGGAAAGGCTCTTGTTCTGTGGGTCTGCTCAGTGGCTTCTGCAGACATACAGCACCTCTGGAAGTGTGTAGCTGTTTCAGTGGCATAGGTTAATTGCTTTTGCACCTCCCTTCCCTTGAGAAATGCAAGTACTTGCTTAAAAGCCTCCATCTCTGTCTGAAAAAAAACAATTCTTGAAGCTGTTGCGTTGTTTTTTTTTTTTCTCTCGAAGGAAAAGTTGGTAATCTTTAGTACTTTGCCTTCGATGTCTTGTTTTAGTGCACAGTAACAGCTCTAGTTTTAAGAGTTCCAGATTTTATTCTGAAGTATTTAAACTTCCCATGTCTAAAATTTTCTTCAACTATTTCATGATACATTTTACTCCTATAAATGACTCTACACATTTACTAATCTGTCCGTTGGTTGCTCTAAGGGATATGCTTTCAGAAACATCTAACCTTAGATTAAAGGTGTTTTTTTGGTAGCTAACTGCTGTTTTCTTGCAGATTTTAATGTGAGAATTGTTATTTTTCATTAATATAATTTACACCCACTTGTTTTTTCTTTGGAATTTTTTCACATGGTCCCATCTAACTAGTTTTCTTGCTTTACCAGAGGAAATAAGGGAAGGGGGAAAGAATTTTTCTGGTCCAGCTTTTGAGTATTGAATGTGGCTATGTTGACTGTACATAAGTACTAAAATCTGGAAAGGTTTTATGTAGCAATCTCTGACTATTTACATGTTTGCTTAAGAGCTATTCTTTTTGCTTGCTTAACTTCAGTCTGTTTATTTAGGCCTTATTTGCAACGGAGACTTTTGCTATGGGAATTAATATGCCAGCCAGGACTGTGCTATTTACAAGTGCCAGCAAATTTGATGGAAAAGATTTCCGATGGGTAAGCAAAAAATGGGTGCTGTAGAATAACTGGATTGCTTTATTTAAACTTTAATAGGATTTTACTTTTGACATATCCACTTCAACGTAGTAGAAAACAACTTTTTCTTTCAAAAAAATCTTTTTTTGTTCACTGATTCATTTACCATTAAGGTACAAATTCCTGAAAGCAGGATTCCTCAGATTACACATGAGATTATTTGTTTTAACAGATAACAGCAAAAGGGCATTGATTGCAAGTTAGCAGTGGACATTTGATTAGAGTATGACTTCTGCACAATTTGTCCTAAACTGGGAGACTGAGTGTTTTCTGCTGTGTCAGAACAATGTGGAGAATAAGTGGGCTCAGTATCGTTTCATAGCGATCACTAGATTTAAGTTCTGACAGACCCAGGAAAAGAGATCATTTACCTCGGGGCAGTATTCACAGAATCACAGAATGTTAGGGGTTGGAAGAGACCTCCAGAGATTGAGTCCAACCCCCTGCCAGAGCAGGACTATCTAGACAAGGGCAGAATTGGTTGTTCTGTTATAGTGGAGTATTTTGGGTAGCCCACAGAAAGACAGAAATGTGCGGAGGAAGAGACAAGTTCTTAAGCAGCTGGAAAACAACTGATTTTAAAGTTTTCACCTTTAAAACCAGGTTTAAGGTTCACATTCAAATAGTAATAAGGGTGTACAAATCATCACAGCAGAACTTTATAAATGACTGTCATGGTTCATCCTTCAGAGATGGAAAAATTGCGATAAACAGGACAAGTGACTTGATGTGCATTATGAAGTGAACATATCTTCCATCTTAGTTTGGGCTGTTCAGTTTCACCATGCATTATTTACAAGAATTAGCTACCTTTGAGGTATCAGATATGTGAAACTCCTGATTTTAACATTATGTAGCAGTTTCCTTAAGTGATTTTTGTGATCTGATTTGAACTTGAAACTCAGGAAGCTGTTGAGAATGCAAATTTCACAGACGACAGAAAAAGCTGTTTTATAAATTACTGAGACATAGGGAACCAGTTACGTCTTGCTCTTGTCCATGTCCCAGTGTTTTGTACCCTCTTCAGTTTCATGGTTAGTCAACATAGAAATACTACTTTTGCTAGGTATTAGCATTTTAATGTTACATTTGAAGCATTTGAATGAAATTACACATTATTTGAAGGCAGTGAAGATGTGTTACCAGTATGTTGAAGATGTATTTAATAATCTCCACTATGCCCAGCAACCTTCCATCACATAAAATATTGGTGAAATGTTTCTTGTGCGTATTAAAATCATGCAGCATGTTATGGAAATCACTGTAGCTATGGGAGCATTAGTTAGCTTATACTGCTGATGTGCATTATTCAGAGTCGTGAATTTATATCTTAGTAGGTCAGTGATGATTTATGAGTAGTAATTCAATCTGTGAATGCTTGTGTCTCAGATAACTCTCCCTTGGTAATTTTTATATGTCATGGTCGTTTACTGTAGAATTGTGAAGAGCACCATGTTTGTTAATTTGTTTGGGTTTTTTTTCTCGTTTTATCCTAGATATCTTCAGGTGAATACATTCAAATGTCAGGTCGTGCAGGACGCCGAGGCATGGATGACAGAGGAATAGTAATTCTTATGGTGGATGAAAAAATGAGTCCAACAATTGGCAAGCAGCTTTTGAAGGTAGGAGAGAAGTTAACTTTCTTTTATCCTCCCCACAAAGGTTATTCTTATTTGGATAATGTAACATGTAAAATCACACACTTTAGAAGAAGTGTGTAAATCATGCATGTAGGAGATGACAGCTCCTAAAAGGAGTGTGGGCTTTCACTGAATTCTTACTGAAACAGGAGTGTCTATTGTGAAACAAAATTAGAAGACTAGTGTCATCCTTCTCTGTATAGAAGGGATCTCAGGCAGGAGAGGTAGAACTATGTCCTGTTCTCTAGTGCTGTCGATAATGCTGCAGCCATGTTCATTTCTTGATGAGCACGGTCAGTTCAAGGATATTGCTGAACTACAAATGGCTTGCTGAGCTTTCACAAGAATTACTAAAGGCTTGGTTCTGTGGTGAAATAAAACTTTGGGAATGGAATATGCAGTGAAATATACAAACTTGACAAAATCATGCAGAAAAAAAGAGGTACATGTGATAAGTAAGAAGAACGAGATAACTGCCAGAGAGCTAAAATTAACTATGGAGCAATTGACAGTGCTCGTCGGATGCTGAGGTTTGGAAAGCAAGAAGCTGAAAAGAAACTCTTGTGTTGAGATGGGCATTAGATTATAGGGCTTCCCCAAACAGTAATGGAAGTTGTTACAGATGATGACAATAACTGCTTTATAATTTGAATGTGAAACATTGCACTCATTACAATCATACTTAAAACCCATGGCAAAAATGTCCATAATGAAGCATAATATTCTGTTGTGTGTGTTTTATGTCTTAGGCTACTTAGGTTAATTGAGCACATGTGTTAAAATTGGAAACATGGGGAGTTACTTGGTGTGCTGTTTGGCAGCTTGTAGCCTTGGTACAACTAGTAAGTAATTTGTGTTAAAACAGCACTTAAACTATTATTAGAGTTTGTATGAATTGTGGAATCAGCTTAAGTCATCATCAGGGTATACTAGTAAAAAGCCTGTATTTGTTGCCCAAAAAAAGATTAGGTGCCAAAGCTTCTCTATTTTGTTCAGACAAATGAAGAACGAGAGGAAAAATGAAAGCTTTATTATGACTAACTAATGAGAAATTAGTGAAATAAGAAACTTAAAAAATATTGGAACACATTCATGTATGATAGCATTAGTTTCTGATTTGATTTCTTAGCTTTGATTTGATTGTGTTTTCTCAGTAGAGTGGACATATATTTATTTGTTTACATGCACACAATGCATGTGTATATCACTGAATGTGATATACGCTGAATCTTCAGATGTGTGAAGACTGAGTATTTTAGCCGGATTTTTATAAGCATTTAAGACTATTTTAAAAAAATAGGTGTAATTTTGTGGCATACTTATTTAACTAAAAGCTTCATACATTCGTACTTCCACAGCTGAAAAATTAAACAGCAGGAGATAGAAAATGAGAGAAGAAAAAAGCTCTCCTTATAAGCAGCATTAAGTTTGTGTACGTGTAATCTAGTTTATAAAGAATATCCTCCAAAAGTTAAGCTATTTACAATTATTTAATATAAATTAAGAAGAATGGATGTTTCAATTATTTATACGCAGATTTCATGAGCTTAATCTTTGAGTTCAACTATTTGGAATTTTTTTTGTTGTTGTTTTGTAAGTTCAGTAGTTTCACAGAATCACAGAATGTGAAGGATTGGAAGGGACCTCAAAAGATCATCGAGTCCAGCCAGCACCACCCCGCAGCAGGTCACATAGGAACACATCCAGGCAGGTTTTAAATGTCTCCAAAGAAGGAGACTCCACAACCCTTCTCGGCAGCCTGTGCCAGTGCTCTGTCACCCTCACGGTGAAGAAGTTTTTCCTTTAATGTTTATGCTGAACCTCTTATGTTCCAGCTTCCACCTATTGCCCCTTGTTCTCTCATTGAACATCATAGAGAAGAGCCTGGGTCCCATCCTCCTGACGTTTGCCCTTTACATATTTATAGACATTTATAGACATTTGTGAGGTCACCCCTCAGTCTCCTCTCCTTCAAGCTAAAGAGACCCAGCTCTCTCAGCCTTTCATCATAAGGGAGATGCTCCTTAATCATCTTTGTGGCTCTGCAATGGACTTTTTCAGGCATTTCCCTGTCCTTCTTGAACTGAAGGACCCAGAATGGAACACAATAGTGCAGATGTGGTCTCATTAGGGTAGAGCAGAGGGGGAGGAGAACCTCTCACGACCTACTAACCACATCCCTTATAATACACTCCAGAGTGCCATTGGCCTTCTTGGCCACGAGGGTGCATTGCTGGCTTGTGGTTACCCTGCTGTCCACGAGGACCCCCAGTCCTTGACCCCTGTGCTACTCTCTAACAGGTCTGTCCCCAGCCTATACTGGTGCATGGGGCTATTCCTCCCCAGGTGCAGGACCCTACACTTGCCTTTGCTGAACTTCATCTGGTTCTTCTCTGCCCATCTCTCCAGCCTGTCCAGGTCTCACTGAATGTCAGCACAGCCTCTGGTGTGTCAGCCACTCCTCCCTGTTTTGTGTCATCAGCAAACTTGCTGACAGTGCACTCTGCTCCCTCATCCAGATCACTGATACATGTATTGGATGGTACCCATCTAGGACCAGTACTAGGTACCAGATGGTACTGGCCCCAGTACTGACCCCTGAGGGACTTCACTAGATACAGTCCTCCAACTAGACTCTGCCCTACGGACTGCAACTCTGACTTCCTTCTTTCAACCAGTTCAGAATCCACCTCACTACCTGATTGTCCATCATAATTTGGGAACTATAGAACTTAATCTGAATGAATTAAGATGGGAAAAAAAGGAATAGTCGATCACCTGCAGTTCTTGTACTGTCTCTGTATTTGTCTAAGTTGTAAGGAAATAATAAAGTATTTCCTTTATTGAAAGGGTAAGCCCCTTGATTTTTTTTTTCCTTTTGAATTATAAGGAAACAAAAGGGAAAAATAATGAAACTTTTATGCTTACTGTATTGTCTCTTGATTCTTCTCTACTGATCTGAATAAATGCAAGTATTTCATTCATTTTCCACACTACTTCACTTGTGAGGAAGGACTGAATGTAAAATCTCTTTGAAAAAAGATCAAAAGGGACTACAGTGAAGGAACTGTTCAGTCAGTTGCTGAAAAGGCAATAGAAGTAATCTTCTAGGAGATGAGCAGTACAACATTGAAAATACTTTCTGTTTTACTTTTAAAATACAAAACACTTAGAGGAAACTTCATGCCTAAACAGGCCAATAGTGTATGTTGACTAACAGTTCTTCAGTACTTGCTTTCTGAATTCATTGTTAAGTGTGTCTGAGTTAGGTTTTACTTACTGACTGACAGTGTTTGTCTGTAGTAAGATTATGATCATGTCTTGTATTTGCTGCCACATCCAGTATTGTGCCTTTGCTCCAGGAAGATAAAGATTTATAGGGAAAACTTCAGAAGAAATAAATGAGCCATATTGAGAATGATAGGACATTTACATAGGACGTTTTTTGTTAGCTCTTCAACTGTGATGCTTGTCTGATTAAAACAGTTTCCTGGGGCATAGTGTCTGGGAGTGGAGTCTGCAGCTGCCTGGGGCTGGTGGGGGTGAGGGGGAGCTCTGGGGGTGCCTGAGTGCCGGCAGCGTTCTGCAGCTGTGCTGCCTTGCGACATCGTGTCCCCTGCTTCAGACCTGAGTTCAGAGTTCAAGTCCTACATGGAGTTCTTACAAGGGATATTTGTAAATATTTTTTTTTAACTTGGTAACATTCATTTGTCTTGTGCAGTATTACTAGGCTTTTTTGTTTATAGTTTGCATTTACTTGAGCACTGAATATTTAGTAAACTGGACTTGCATAAACCTTTAAAACAAAATGCTTACAATACAATTAAATTGCTTTCTGAAGACAGCAAATTTTAGTTTTACATTTGCATAATATTAAGAAGTATTTGATGGGAATTTTTTTATTTGTTTCCTTAATGGAAATCTTTAGCAACATTGTCTTAGTTAGGTAAGAAGTGGAAAGCTTCTCCTTGACGCTAGATGGCCTTTGAAACCAGAGCACCATCTCTCTAGCTATGGACTGCTATGGAGTTTAGCCGTGTTACAAGCAAGTGTTCCTACAGAGACAACTGAGTTACCGAACAGTGGTAATCTGTTACGTCTCTAAAAGGCAAAAAATCTTAGGCTAACTGTGTTACAGAAATGAATAACTGTATAATGAAATAAAATGTCCTAATGTGTGTAGGGTTTTGAGCCCTGAATTTGAGTGTATCAGTTCTTTGCTTCTACTCTACTGCTTCACTGGAGAAGCTAGATGGAATGAAAAATTGAAAGAAAACATTCATTGAGCCAGATAAAATACACAATATTCTGCTTTCCTTGTCATTTGCATATGGAACATAAAGTGCCCAGATGCTACGCTGTAGGAGACACTCCACTAGCTACAACTAGCTCTTTGGCAGTGCCTTTCTTTATAGCTGGCAGCACTGTGTTTCTTTGGCCTGTGTGTCACTCTTAACAATATATTTGGTCTTTTTGTATTTCATTTTTACTTTGAGATTGTTTAATTGCACTAGGCAAATGAACAGAGTAGCAATTCAGACAGTTTTATACTTTTATCTTTAAATTCCTGACTGCTTGCTCATCTTCCTCATTTGACCATTGTGCAGTTGTTGAAAGTTGATTAATTTAAAAGAGCAAATCATGATTCCCTTATAATTAAGGCAGCATGATAATATAGTTTGTGTTTTAATCACCTGCTGTGTATCACGTGTGGCTGTTCCTTTCAGACTCCCAGGTACAAAGAAAATTCTCTTTAGTGTGAAAAGCAGTATTTACATATAAATAAATATATCTGTGCTGACTGAGAATAAATATAAGATTGGAAATGGTGAGGAGGTGATGAGAAGCTTCCATTACTAGAGGAGGAAGTTTTTGGAACAGGAAATTGATAAAATTGCTGGAATTTATTACTTAAGCAAAACTACCTGTCTGCAAAAGGAATTGGTAATAAGCCTTGGGCAATGGTGTAATTTTGTGTGTAT